CTCTCTCACTGTTACGAACCAGGTACTAACCTGTGATGTGGCGCTGTGCTGCAGGTACCTTGAAGACGAAGCTGGAGCAACGGCGCTGCAGGTAGGTACCCCTGGCCTCCGCCCAAGCTCTCTCTCTCTCTCTCTCTACCACTATCCTAGCTATGGCGCCCAGCGCCGAAGGCTACTAGCTAACCCTACCACTACTATAACGCAGCGCTCCCTCCAGAGGGTTGCTCCCGAATCCTGAAGACTACAACTGCCGACTGCCTTCCCTCCTGTAGGGCGGGCCAATCCTTTATAGTGCTGGCCCGTGCAGGAGGYTGGTCGTGCCAATGCCCTATGCGCAGGAGGCCGCTCTTGCCAATGCCTCCCTGGCCTAGACCCTGCGGAAGCTTCCAGGCAAGAGCCTGGAAGTTTCCCTGTAGGGAAACAGGCTGGGGCCTGTAGGCCCTGTCAGAAGGAAGCTTCCAGGCAAGAGCCTGGAAGTTTCCCTGTAGGGAAATAGGTTGGGGCCTATACAGCATGTAACAGCTGGGGTGTAGCCCTGTAACCTGTTTTCGCAGAAGCGTGAGGCCTGGTAAAGAGATCTGGAGACATGTTGAGGGAGGAAGGCAATCCGGTGGCTAACCAGGGACTGCTGCCAAGTCAACGAGGGCCGAAGCTGGGGTGGGTCGCGCTGCCCTGTAGCCTAGTAGTATGTTGAGGGCGTGCGGTCGGGTATTGGTCTGGTAGAGAGAACAGGGACAGCTATGGTTGGTTTCGGATAGGCTTAAAGCGTTGGTAGAGGTGAGGCTAAAAGTTGCTTATGGATTTCATAGCATTTATGGCATTTCTTAAAAACAAAGGATAAAACAAGTAGTTTTTTTGTGCCATACTTCGCATCCACACGGGCCTGCAGGGCCCGACCAGACAGAAAATAAGGGCCCTCCAGGCCCTGTGTCGTTTCAGCCTAAAAGCCTGAAAACGAGGGCCATTTTCAGGCCCTCATAAAGTCGACCTGCCCTGAAACTTAGGCGTTAGACCAGGGTTTAGTGCAGGCCATTTTTGGGCCTGTTTCAAGACAACCTTTGTTTGAACTTCACCGCCAGGGTCTGGCACGTTTTGGCATTGGCAAGAGCAGCCTCCCGGACGGGCCAGCACTACATACTGGTCCGCCCTGCAGGCTGCATGTAGTTCACGGGGAGTTCACGGGCACTTCACATGCAGGAGACTGGAGGCAGTCTTCAGGATTCGGCAGCAGCACTCTGCAGGAGCGCTGCAGTAGTAGTAGCTAGCGTTAGGAGTAGTCTTCAGCGCTGGGAGCTACTAGGAGCTTAGAGTAGTATTGAGAGAGAGAGAGAGAGGTGGCGGAGGCCAGGGAGACTTACCTGTGGCGCCATAGCTCCAGCTTCGTCTTCGATGTACCTGCAACAAGGCGCCACCTTCACAGGTTAGTACCGGACTGAGAGAGAGAGAGAGTTCTTCTTCTTCCTCTTCTAAGTCCCCCATCTCCCCCTCACCCTCTCGCTACCTGACTTCTCAGTATCTGCAGACTACGAGAGAGAGAGAGATTGGTGACTTTGGGACTTGGCGACGTTTGGGTTCAGACTCGACATTGGGATTGAGACATTGGACGAGGGATTATTTGGGACCTGCACCGAAGACTTGGTGTTGACGACATTCCCATCTTCCCCCTCTTCTTTGTCTAATCCCCCTCCTCTTCGTCTGTGTATGATTGGGGACTGGCGCATTCTTCCTGTGTGAGTGCCAGGCCCCTTCACACCATGTGATGATGATGATGTATGTTTGGCCTGCATTGCGACATTGATTGGTCTGATCATTGGTATTTTAGCCTTCCACTGCGCTATCCTGTACTATGTGAGAGAGGTCGGTTCTTGTTCTGGTCTGTACCGTTACGGTATGCGACATTTTTTCTTCTTCGAAGTTTATCGCTTTCATGAAGCTGTCAAATTTTATAAGATCAGTTTCTGTTTCAATTAAGTCGTGATGATGATGATGATGGTGATAACACAGGTGTCCTAAGATGAGCTCAATGAGAACAGAACTCTCGTGTGGAACGAAACGACAAAAGCTCATTTGTATTTGATTTCCAGTTCGAATACAAACTGTGAGAGCATGGGAGGAAAAAAAGAAAACGGTCATCATGGTGACATACTCATCTCTGTCACATATTGGCTGTGCTGTGTAGGTTGGTTCTGAGACATATGCTCTTCTGCGAGAGAACCTGGTATCGGCAGAGATTGCGTCATGGAAAGGTATATTGGACTTGTGAAGAGGTAATCGTTGCACAAGTTAAAACTTAAAGCACAGCTTTTTTACCATTTTTCTTCTTCTTTTTTTACAGCTTTCTCATGGGAAAATGATGATGAAGATGATAAACGCATTCACAGGGTAGCTTGGCAAAAGTTGGCACTGCATATCGCGAAGCAACCGATTCCGAAGGCATCGAGAGTGCAGCCGTATCACTCTTAGTGCTGCTCACTTTCCCGGAAGGGACTTCCCCTTGGATTTCGTGGGACAGCCGGCGGTTTCTTGTGCATCACTGTTGCACCACAAACAATAGTGGTGTTACGATCCTGGCCAATTTCAAAGTATACATTCATCTGAAAGTACAATGCCATCCAATTGCAAAAAGAAATGAATGAACTTGAGAGGAAMGAGAGGGAAAGAAGAAGAAGAAGAAGTAAGAAAGAAGAAGATGATGATGAACTCCAGCATAGACCAATGTCAAGGCTCTTCTTCTTCGCCAACCAATCTCTTTCTCCTTATCTCCTCCCTCTTATTCAAACAAGAAATAACAATAATAATGTTGAATGACTGAA